CCGATGTGTTACTCAAAAGAAGGAATGCATCTACATTGTGAACTACCTACACAATTCTCTATGTAAATTAGTCATGTGGTGTTTTAGATATCTCCACACTATGTTATGTAAATTAAAGCTCGATAGTTCTGTACTGTAGATATCCAAAGTGCTGATTCAGTACAGTCATAAATCGTATTTGTTGTTCAGACTATGTTTAATTACTACAAAATTAATGATACTACCATGCTGGTGTATGTAATTTGTTAGTATAATCTAGAGAGCACTTCTATGGCAAGTTTGGTTAAGCGAGGGTCAAAGATCAGTGACAACTAGAATGATGGCTTACAGTGAAAGTTGCGTGTAGAGCGTCATTAAATGAGTCTGCATAACTGCCATCGAACATTTATAATCCCGACTTGCTGAAAATATTATTTATTTCTTGCAATTGTCCTTGTTTTATGTGAAGTTTCTCATGCTGTCAAAGCCAAGTAAAATTAATAGTGTTGATAGCAAAGAAAATACACATCTTTGAATATATGAAGCTTAATAGAAGAATGCCACTATAACATGCTACAGTGGCAGACAGCAATGACTGTAAATAGAATATACATGTTCTATTTATGCAGAAGAACACTATGCACATGCATGCTAGAAGTGTTATATAATAATTTAAAACACTCTATTGCATATTAAATTGAAAAACGTGCATAGTTGCATCAAGAAAGGTGTAGACCATAAAATACATTAAAATACACCATCTCAAAAGCTCTTGGTATTACATTAAAAGGTCCACCAAGCTAAGATCATGAGTGTCAATAATACTTGCCTTTTACCATATACAAATTAATTTGTTGGGTACTATTTCATCTTCATATTTTACAATCCATATCCTATATTTAAATCAGTTTCAAGACATTTTAAACATTTATTTTAGAAGCATAACAATACAATTACGAGGTTTGGTATCACAGTTTGCTTTCAATTCAAATTGAAATAATGCCAGCACAAATTAACAAATCAGCATACTATTTATTACCCGACATCATATTCATCGGCTAGTTCTCAGGATCTACAACAGTAATAAATAAACAGAAATCATTTTGATACCGCAATGACCCAACAAACAATCAACATTTCTTCCACCGATCACAAAAATTTTATCCATAATTGAACAACCAAGAAAGCTACAAATATCAGGCTGCATTCTAAAAACAACGAGATAGCATATTACAAGCAGTCATTGCAAACATAAGTCCTCCGCCTTTCCCAACACACTTTACAGCATTAATGATTTATATACTCATTTGAATGTATATACGACAAGCTTAGCCAATACATAGTCCATTGTGACCAATAGTAGTACGCGACTCATCAAACTTTTGACCAACCACTCATTCTAATTATTGTTGAGTGATGGCGCCATTTACTAATGAAAAAAGATCTTTTAAAATCTTTGTTTGTGTCCTTCTAGTGTGTTCTAGTGCACGTCTGTCTACCTAGGGGTTTCAAGTCTCAAAGTATAGTTTTGATTAATACAGTGACTAAAATCGTAAAATCGGTGTCAGGTATACTGAAATATTTCTTGACATAACTAATGAAGCGATTCCATCGAACATACCCGAAGTTCTGAAAATTAGGTCACGAATAGCTAACACTGACGGTGAATTAGTATATATTTATAGTTAAGCATTTCACTGTGGCGCTTTTAACCACAGTAAGAGCGATATTCAGCGGCCCAATTCTCTTTTGTTATCGTTCTGTTTTTCTTCTACGAAAAATGGAAAAAAAAATGCTTAAACATCTTCTTCAACAGAAACACTGAACACAAAGGACAACAATTCAGTTTTTAGGATGTGTAAGGCTTATTCATTTGCAGGCTCGTTGTGATTGGTCATGTGGTTTAGCCGCCAATCTTGTATTTTTTTGAACAGGAAATATTTTATCTGATTGATTTGAAAGTTGGCATGTTGCACCTCTACACAATACTTACTTTGACACAAGAAAATAATGTTCATCAGTAACATTGTTTAACCGCCATTTTGGATTGAAATTTGTTTAAAGAGGTCATTATACCCCTTCCTGTGGGCCTGGGATTGTTTTATAGTGATTGTTTTTGTCATATAGGTTACCTATTTCAAGAAAAACTCTTTAGCTGTCACGTGACCATTTTTGATATGAAATTTGGTATGTTACATTTCCACGCGGCACTACTTCACGTGACTTGGCCGCCACTTTTGATTTTCTTTGAAAATGGCCAAAATAAGCATTTGCTTCTTAGAAGTGTTTCAACCTTCAATTTGATCTATTGAAAGTACGCCTCCAAGACCCGTTGGATTGTTTTTGTTTTTTTACGCATGTCAAAGACTTCTTTGGGAAAAATAATTATCAGTTTGCTCTCAATCTTCCATTTTCCTAAACATTTCCAAAATGATAGGACATTTGTTTCTCAATGATGCTTCAACCTATGAATTCTATATCTGACTTTCATAATTTTGATTGTTCAACTGGTATGGCAGTCA